TCTGCATCATTAAAAAACCCTTACGGTGTCCTGTATACCTTATTTTGGTTAATATTCCGCCCCCCACCCCCGCACTCTCTTACGTGAGACACTCAGGTTGGAATGAAATGAAATTCTGAAATGAAATTCCAACCTAAATTTGTACTTACTAATTTGGGTTTAAAAGCAAAGATGAACCTACATATGCAAAGCTCGGAAGAAGGCGGCGGGACTCGATATTTCTGCCAACGAATTGTTAAATGTCACTCTGGATATTTTGCATGCATCCTGTTCTGTGGAAATGTAAGCTTGACTGATTAAAGCACTTGAATAAGAGGGAACTTGAGACCTTGCCCAGGTCAGCACTGACCAGTTCAGTGTGGTCTATGGGTGAACATCACATCGCATGGAAGCTTGTTAAAAGGTACATTCTCGGGGTCCCCCCACCCCGGGACTTCCCGAATCAGAATCTGTATTTCAACAAGTTCTCTAGATGATTCTGATGCTTGCTTAAAATCTGAGACTTAGCGATCTGGGCCGGTGGCTTTCAAATCTCTTTTAGTCACAAGGTCTGTCTACTAGGAATAAAGAAGTTTGGCAGTCCAATTAGGGAAAGTATTTAGTGAATCTGGTTGATTAGTAAGTACTGTGGGCTCTGGTCGAAGTCCTTTTGGTGCCGCTGGGCGGGGTTCCTTTAGGTCCCCCTGCTCAGCTGAGCTCAGTTTACAAATCAGCGATGGAGGCCAGCCCTCTGTGACAAATGGGGCAGCGGAGCTCTGAGAAGGGAAGGGATGTGTTTACGTTTGTCCAAACGATGTTGCAAGATCAGAATTCAGAAACTCACCCTGAACCCAGGGCTTCTGTAGATCAGACAAATTAATGCATGGTTATTAAGCCTACAAAAACAGTGACTGAGTCATACTTAAGTGTTACATTTGAAATCCCTTTAGAAAGTGAGTTTTAAAATTTCAGGAGCACATATTCCATAAAAGAGAGACTCCAGGAAACCAAATTCTTGTTTTAAAGTCTCAAAAGGAAAACTTATTTTTTATTTTAGAATCTGTTGTGTTAGCCAAAAGAAACGTGGGTAGAATTCTTCTCCAGTTGATTGAAGATCTTCGAATTTACGTTTCTATTCATAATGCACCAAAACATGATATAGAAGGGTCCTAAGCGCCTCGCTTGGCCTGGATGTGGTCTGGAATACTTATTTGACCGGTTGATTGTAGTATACGCTGGGAATACTTATTAAGTGTGGCAAGTGATTCCAGGTCACAAGTTAAGATTAAAAAAGAGCCAGTTTGTGCTTCGCGGTAACTTGGCACACGAACATAGTGCGTATGGCTGAAGTGTGACAGTGCCTGTTCGGCTCTGTGCAAGTAAGCTGTCCCACACCTGTCGTGAACCCCTAGTGTGCGCTACAATCATGTTTTCTCAAGGCATTACGGTTGAGGGCATAATAAATCCTTGATGAGAATTTCATGCTTCTAAAACACTGGGATACGATTTGGTTTATATACCCAGTCGGGTTTTCTCTTTATTTTTGCTTTTTGGGAGAAGGCGGCTGTTGGCTTTCATAGACTTTACTCCAAGCCGTCAGAATCACGACGTGACTTACTTGGCAATCCGAATCCCACAGTGACAAACGTACTGAGTATATTTGACTCTCTACTTGTCTTCGTGTTGGTTGGCTTCTTGCTAAACCCCCTAACATAAAAGCAACAGCTTTGACCTCCAAGAAAAGCTTGGATTTTTTTAGCAGCTTCTCTATCCCAACACCACAACCGTTCCAGCCTCTGACAGCTCAGCGTTCGCGTGCTCAAGCTTCCTGATGCCCCAGCCTCCCCTTCGCTCCGGATCACGCCAGGTTTGCTGATAAAAAAGGCAGCTCGCTCGATTACTGGGCTGGCATCTAGAATGCCAAGGAGTCGAGTGTCTGTTCCATGTTCTCTTGTGATATCTTCGTGGGTTCAGAAGAGTTGGACAGTAAATGATGGCGCCGTTAGGCGAGGTTC